GAATTGGGTCGGGGGTCACAAAGCACCCGTCGACTTCATGAAGGACATAGGTCTCGGTGAATGGGAGATTGATGATACTTTCTTTGTTCGAGTGGGTTTATTAGAAGAATTTATGAAGGCCTACGTCAACGAAAAGGGTGTCAATGCTGATATAATTGAGGTGATGGTCTCAGGGTATGATGATTGGGGAACATTTGTGAGCGCAGTGGGGAGTGCAAAGCGAATTTACAACTCGAGGTCAATAAACGATCGCTTCGAGGCACGAGCCGACTTAACAAACCCTTTTGTATTGGAGGAAAGGATATTAAAGAAATGGATGGACATGTCGTGGTCGCCAGACTATGCCGCAGATAAAGTTAAATTGTTTGGCCATGTAGAGTACTTGACAAGTTCGATGCTTGGCACGATCATGAGGTACTCTGATTTTTGCAGCGCCGAGTATTCGATGCATGAGTTTTGGATAGCCAAAACGTTTTTGGATAAGTTTGGAGACGAAGCTGTGATGGATGAGTTGGTGGTAGCAGTGATGACAGACGCAATGACTGCGGTACCAATTGAAGGTGTTCAAAAACTAAAAGCACAACTTTTTAGGTGGTGGATTAGCAGTGGTGAAACGGCCGACCACGTCGTCAAGTCACTATTCATTAAAAAAGAACCTCATGATGATTTCTGGGCACGTGTAGAGCTGCTGGACGAATTTCTCAGTGCGTACAACGCGGAAAAGAAAGAAAAAGTCGATTCGATCACGGCTCTGATCTCAGGCTTGGGTGGTGAAGACAAACTGGACTTGATGTTCTGGAAGGCAGCGGCTGATCCTACAGAGGAGAACATAGCCTTCAAGCTACAAACGAATCTACTTGAGAAATGGAAAGGGCTTGGTGTGAAGCCAGAAGAAGTCGTGTATCGGCTCAAAAAGACCGAAAACGTACAAGAGTTGATGGGCCCAAAGCTACACCCGATAATGAGGTACATCGAAATGCTTGATGTTGAGCATCCAATGCGTTCTTTTTCTCTTATCGAGATGTTGATGGAGAACGGTGAAAAAGAAGAAGTTGTTGTGGAGACACTGGTAAACAAGTTGGCAATCGCAAGGTTGAACAAACCAATGAATGAAGACTTGGGAAAGCTGAAATTGCAGCTTGTGAAATGGTGGGTTGGAACAGGTAAAAAGCCTGACCACGTCTTCAAGTCACTGGAGCTTTACGGCAGTAACGCCTTATCTTGTTTTGATACAAAGGTAGAGGTGTTGGAAGACTTCATCAAGGCTTACAACGAGCATTGGTCAAGCAATTCCGATTTGCTCACGGTGATGATCTCAGGGTTTGGTGGCGACGACAAGCTGGCGCTGGCTGTACATCATAAGATCTTTTTTGACAGTAAAGGAAGAGCTGCTGATTTGGAGAAACAGCTATTTATGAGGTGGCATGCTCTTTATTCAAAAAAGCCAGAACAGGTCGTGGAGCTTGCGCTCAAGATGACAGTAAAAGAGCTGACGGGTCCAAAGCTACGCATATTCAAGGAGTACATCAACACCCTCGACGCAACTGATCTGGGTCATGCGACGTCGCCTCCAAAGATGTTTTCGAAGCTATTCGGGGCTGAAGCTGTGGCGGTTGAAGTGCAGAAGGCACGGGCAAAGAATGAGGGCTGGACGGACGAAGTCGTAGAGGAGCTGCTGGTGATGCAGTAGACCAGACCAGGAAAGTATCGACAAGATGTCATATTGATGCTGAAGTCAAGTGAAACAAACCTCTTCGCAATTTGATATACAAGTCACGGTGTCGGTCGGAATATTGCCCCAGTACGCTCACAAGGGCACCAAAAAGGCTGACTTGTCACTCCCTCGATGTCCGTCTCAGCCTCGCTGCCTGCTCGCAGATGACCTATCTCATTACACTAGACAGCGTCGCCGCAAATATGACACGATGGAACGGTGGGGCGTCATGTGTGCTGTAAAGTGCATTGCAGCCATTGCTCAAGCAGTTCATATTCACAGGAAACCCGCGTCTAGAGCAGCAGTGGCGACGATACGGAGTACACGCTGATAGCTATGGCAGTGAGGTTGTGTTTGTGAGAGAAAAATCATCTTCTTTCTGTTTTACTGAAAGCGCAACGCACTGATGGGCAAATGTGTTACCACGACCACATTTGTTCGCCTGCCGTTATTGTTCAGCCTCCAATTCGTTTACACACACTCGCATCGTAACTTGCTTGCACACTCCGCGTCAAAATGCCGCCTCATTGCGCTGTTGTTCCACAGCAACGTCGTGTGTAGATACTAATAGCGTAGCTGAACGGTATACGTTTCAAACGGGATAGAACGTCCAAGCTGACGCTCAGTCTACCACTACTACAACGATCAGAACGACTTGCCGTTGTTTCATGTCACATCGCAAAGTGCGACCTGTTGCGCGTCGGAATTCGTCAGGTGAAACCGACCAGACTCCATAAGATCCTCCCGACTTCTCCGTGTCATTTGATTTTCATAACACCCTCCCGACTTTTCTGCGCCGTGCAACTCGGCAATCGTTCCAAGTTAAGTTGCGTCGCCTACGCATCTATGCATCGGTCGAACGCTACAGGTGTCAGGAAGATTGTCAGCAATTGCATACACCGCATACAACAGTCGCATGCAGTCATGCAACCAAAGTCCGTTGGTGTGCGACTTGCGACGCGTAGACTTCGTGTGGACGACGACAAATAGACCTGTTTCAAATTCATCTCTGCTTCGGCTGTACGAAGTCGCAAATTCATGCCTCGTTGACAGGATGCGAAAATGGACAGCCTCAATACTTGTATTCACACCTCTCTTTCGTCGTGGGACTTAGCTCATTGCGTCTTTCTTCGGACTGGCAGCACTACTGGCAGCCTCTCCCAGCCAGTTGGGCATCGCCAGTGTGTATTTAGCGCTGATATAGATGCACGATGAAGACAACGTCGTCGCGTAAGCACGTTGCAGTGTCGGCGTCTTGACCAACAAGGCGGACTAGTCGTCAATGAAAGTGGTATGTGCCACTAGACGAGCAATCGCCACTCGAATAAGCCACAGACCTGAGTCGGTAGTCAACAATAACCAGCTGCCGAACACGAAAACAAAGCCCAGCGTGTACATCGTCGTGGTCACGGACTCGAGCAACCAAGATGCCACGTAGCGCGTAGAACGTACACCACCGAGTCCACGGCATACCTCGCAGCTAAAGGCGCCAGTGCGAGCAGCACGGGAGACGTAGCCAACAAGTCAGCGTGCTGCATCTCCTTCAGCAGCCGAACACTGTGTTGCTGTGCACCACTCGAGTCATCTCCTCAGCAGCCCTCAATTCGGCAGAAAGACCCGTGCCAAACTGCTGCCTCTGTGCCCGTTAACTTTTGTCGCTTTTCATCGAAAGTACAACACAACGCTCATGAACTAGACCCGCAACGAATACCGTCGATTCGTTGTCAACATGGTACAACAGCACCACACATTTCGACGTCAATTCCGCTTTCATGCGCGAACAGACGCGCGGACGACATCGTCTCCTCTGGCGCACCAGCAGCTCACGTCATGACGGAAAGCGAGTCGAACAAAGAGCGTCTTCGTCGCCCCCGCCCAATGGCATACCGATTTTCTCCCGGGAGCCAAATACATTTGCAACTGTAAGCTGCATTTGCCAACGTGCAGACAAGAGAGAGAGCGGGAGACCGAGGCAGTTGCAACGGAACACGACATCGATTCCACTCTCCTCATCGAGTGACACGTGTGCGAGCAGTTACTTGTCCTGTGCCCGCGACACATCGTCCACGTCTAGCGCTGGTACATAACGCCGACGCTTATCCATCGGACGCTGTGTGAAGCGCAAGTTCCGGTCCACGAGCACCGGTAGCTCCTGTACCGGACTTTGCTGAAAATCGGTGCCAAGACGCAGACTGCCCGCTGGTCTCCAGTCGGCAATAGTCGTGACTTTGTCGTCTGCCGCGTCGTCTGCAGAACGTTCTGGAGCGGGACAGAAGTCAGCAGCAGTTGCACAATCGTTGCGTTGGGACTTGGAGCGTCGTGGACGAGACCGGACACGTGGTGGAAGGTCCGGCACTCGTCGCAGCGCTCTGCGGCCTTCCGGTCCAGAGAGAACCCCCTGCGGGCGTTACGTGGACGTGCAGGAACACGGACGCGTTGCCTTTCAGCGCCGGCCATACGTCGTTTGCGAGCACAGAGCCGTTGGCAAAGTACGTCAGCGTCGAGCGCGAGGGACTGAGGTCGAGGCGTCGAGCACTCGATCGCCGCCAATCAGACGCGAGCGACTCGAGCACTCCGACGCGCACAGTGGAACCAGTTCAGTCCGTGGCCGTGTCTCATTGTGGTTGACACGACACGTCGAGCGCCACACCCCGCGACTGGTCTCGTCTTACAGCGGATATAACGTGTTGGGCTGTCTGCTGCGAACGTCAAGGCCACGGTCCAGTAGGTCATGTCTACAGCACGTATACCTGCACGCCGATTCGTATACACACGTCACGTATACATCGTATAGCCAGACGTCTTGCTGTTGTTTGCCCACACACACATACACACATACACACACACCTGTGGCCGGACGAGCGGCCTACGCGCAGCCTGCGCCCAGAGCAGAGACCCGTCACGAAGCGCTGATGCAGTCGTCGACTAGCGGGAGAGACCCTCCCGACAGCCCGAGCGGCACAGCGCAGCGAGTTGTTCGTTCGCTTTGTCAGCCACCGACGAAAGGGCGCGGCGCGGCATATGCGCTCGTGACGCGGTCCCTTCAACGAGCAACTGAAGTGCTGTCGTGCGCGCGCCGTTGCGGAAACATTGCGCACTGTGCGATACGGAACGACGGCGAACGGGGCGTCGAGTGCGGAAGGATTGTGAGATAGAAAAGCCCTTCCGCATGGACGCGCGGTTTCAGCCAATCAGCGGTGTCCGATGCTGCGTGCCACTCAACAAGAACGCGCACCCGTAGACGACCGACCGACCGACCGACCGATTGCGGGGACTGTTCCGCAGGATGTTACTCGGCCGCAGTCTGTTGCAGACGACGGCGCGCGCCGACGCACAGAGCGCCGCCCCCAGTGATGCGACACTCGACGCGATACGGGCGCACGACGTCTTTTTCTGTGATATGCTGGCGCACATTCCAGCGCATGTGTACTTTCCTACCGACGCGGAAGCGAATTGGAAAAAGACGGCGCCACGAAAGTACCACAAGGTGAGTCGTTGCTCGACGGTGTCGGCCGCAGCAGTGGGTACGACGCCGTCACGCGGTCTGTGCACAGCCGCCTCGTGGCTGACAATCGCTCTCTGTGCTGCCTTTCTCTGTCTGCGCTTTGGCAGAACGTACAGGCGCAGCAACAGCGCGAGTCGACCAAGAAGAGCGTCTTGAAGCGCGCCAAGTTCTCTCCGGCAGCCGCGCCGAGCAACGAGGCGCGTCAGCAGAGCTCCGCCGCACCCGGGCCGCAGGAAACGAAGCAGCACGTGCTGGCGCCGGTGAAGCGGCTGCCGCTGCACGGGGAGGCGCACAAAGGAGGCGCTCTCGACGGTCTCCGCGCTCGTCTCGCTGTAAAGATCCAGACGATGCGGGAGCAGCGCAAAGCCGAGGAAACGACGGGCAAGAAACGGCCGTCTCGAGCCGAAGTCGTGGCCGAGCAGCGCGCGCTGAAGAAGCGCAAGACAGCAGCCAATAAGAGCAAAGCACGTGCGGACAAGCGCGAGCACGAAGCGGCTGCACAGTCGCCGGAAGACGGCCAAGCGGCGCCTACAACGGACTCCGCCGTCGACACGACGTCTATCTCGTACGGCAGTTTGCTGCTGGACGACGGCGTTGAAAAAGACAAGAAAGCGCCCGCGACGCGTCATGGACAGAGCGTGCGTGGTATTCAGAATTTGCTCAAGAAGGCGGAGCGCAACGCCCAGCGGCTCGAGGAGCTGAAAAAGACGGAAGACGGAGCGGAGAAGGTCAAGGCCAAGGGCTGGGAGACGGCGCTGCACCAGGCGGCAGGGAAAGTGGTGCTGGACGATCCAAAACTGCTGCGAGCTAAGCTGAAGAAGAAGGAGAAGTCCAAGGCCAAGAGCTCGAAAGAGTGGAAGGAACGGGTGGCGAAGCTCGAGGTGTCGAAGAAGGAACGACAGAAGAAGAAACTGTCGAACGCCTTGGGTCGCGGGAAGAAGGAGGCGGTGAAGCCGGTGGAGAAGAAAGGCCGAAAGGGACCGGTACGTGTCGTAATGAGTGAATGACGCACTGGAAAGGGGTCGTGCATTCTTGACAACGTCGTTCGTGTCGTTGTGTATGATATTCAGCGCGCTGGTTTCGAAGGTAGAAAGGGTGACGCGTTTCTGAACGCGGGCAAGAAGGGAAGTAAGTTTGCAGGTAAGAAATCGGCAGCACCGAGCAAGTAGTTGGCGTAAAAGGGCGGGTCGCTCAGCAATACATCATGTAGAGCGCTAGTTTGGATGGAAGAGGTGGTATGATGTTTTGACCCTCGAAATGCAGATGCACAAAGAGGTACATGAAGACCTGAAGACGATCGCGTCATCGGCAGCAAAGCTCTACAGGATGCTCCAGCCGCTACCGCTTCGGCTCTTTGGCATCAAGAATTCGGCCTACCGTCCTTTTCGCCAAGAAACGGGTCTGCAGTCGTACTCTTGCAGCACTCGGCGATTCCAGAAGCACAAAACAAGTCGATGAGTGCGAAAGCGGTAGCTGCCTCAAAGCTGAAACACCCACTTCGTAGCTGCTTCGGACGTGGTGCGAGAGGCTCCAAGTGGCACAAGGTCCACCTCGTGCCGCGCGATCCCTTCCAAGAGCTTCTTGGTGGCTGCTTTTGCCATGTGAATGAGCGGTCTGACTTGTTCGCATGAGCTGCAGAAGCAGCGAATGGAAATAGCTGCAATGTACGCTGCAAAAACGGTCTGTGTAGTGGTGTGCATCGAAAATGTGAAGTAAACACAGTGCGATGACGTGCTTGACAGCGTCGAGGTTGCTCTCTGCATCAGGTATACGGCTCGTGTCAAGAGCGAACTGCTGTGTCAACGAATGTCGCTGGCGACCCGATAGTGTGTGTAAAGGTGTTGCATAGCCTGCTCTCAAGAGCTGTCTACGCACATTTGAACTCGAATTGTGGGCAAAGTAGTCGACGTCATGTGGCAATGCTTTTCGAAGAGAAGCATTGGGACTGAATGGTGGCGATGAGGACGCAGTCTTTGTATTGTGGGCGGTAAGTGTGTGTCCGAGATGATGGCGTATCTATAGAAAGTGTGTCGATGGAGGTAGGACAAGTGCTGCGAAGTGTGCACATGCATGATCAACAACATGACTGAAGGGAGTCCGCAGAATAGCAATGCGTTTGTTCTGGAAAGACAGCTGGCAAAAACTAGTTTTGCTGTAATACGACGAAGGGTTCGTGGATCTTACATGACAAGCTGCTGATGTACCATTAGTATTGCCTCATGCAAACCGTTCGAGCATCCGCGTGTCTTAGTTGAATGACGCACTAAAAAGTAAGTGCAGAAATGACCACATGTATCGGGTCCACCCACAACCTTCCGCCACGAGAACAGCTGCGACAATATCATCATGATCACTTCATTCAAGTATTTGTGGCGCGATGATAGTTGAGTAATAAGGTCAGATAGTCGAGAGAGAGAGAAAGAAAGAAAGAGAGAGTGGGGAAAGTGAAGTTATTGTGCACTATCGCACTACCGTGCATAATAACTTCACTTTCCTCACTCTTTCTTTCGCTGGTCGTACGAATTAATCGACCTGAAACTCATCGGATATATATGAGACTTGGCGTGGCCTCGAACAATAGCCATGTTCGTCAAGGCACTTGTGGGTTTGTAGCCGGGTGAGACCGTTGCATCACATATCCGTGTAAATCAATGTACATATTATGTTTGCAGCTAGCAATCAGTAACCCTAGCGTAGATGATAGTAGTTTATAGCCTTTGAATGGAATTCCCATCAGCCGATGACGTCACTTGCTCATCGGCGGATGTCGGCCATTGTATCAGCCAGCATATTTATTTTCAAGACAAGACACGCGCAATATGTGGTGGACGGATGACGACGTACATATTTGGCGCTAAATATAGCTTACGTATGAGTACATTCTGCTTTAGACAAAAGACAGAAACTATGTTCGCGTTGTCGATCCAACCAAATCTATGTCCTATATGTGACCGCGCTTCCCCTCACTGCACGGAGTTGGTGCTGTAAGTGACGCTTCCGGCTTGCACGAGGTCAACCAGGTAATCCGTATATGCCCCTTGCACTGTTATAATGAAGACGAAACATGCGCGTCCTACTAGTCAAGCGCTTATAACGGTCCAATACAAGCAAGCCATCTGAACTTTGGCCTTTCAGTGTTTACATTCGCCAAGTGACACATTCGTACATCTTTCTTGTCCAATAGTTTACCGTAGAATACAAGGAGAAGCGGCGTTGGTGCCATTTTGAGCTACTCAACTTGTAAGTAGTACGAAAACTACCTGATAAATGAAAGCGAGCAAGATACGCAAACAGCCAAAACCCATCAATAAATAAAAAAGAAACAATGAACTTGAATAAATTGTGTATGTAGATGCGCAGAAAAGAACTTCAGCATTACGATTTACAAAGTACAATCATGCAAACTATACGTGCGAACATCGCAGAACAATTGCCAATGATGTATAGTGTAGGACGTGTGGATACACGCTGCTTGTATGTACCCCCTTCTTGAGCAAGAAGGGTCCTAGTTTCATTTGCCGTCGGTAGCCACGTGTTAAAATATCGGCGTGGATCTGCAATCGTAAGCCGTCCATCTACGCAGGGGGAAGAAAAAGATTTGAAGCATGAGTATCGATGCTTTCTGCCACATGATATACTTTGGCAGGCACTGTAGATAGCGGTACCACTAAAGTTCACACGTGTAGCTTCAACTATTATTACTACGTGCCAACGTATGGTTACAGTGCGTGGATACTGGTCATATAGGTCGTAAAAATCTGTGCTTTTCGACGACACGTATTTTATCACCGAGTCACCCGTCAGCCCAATGACATTTTCACATCTGTGACTGCACAATTTACAGCGCTTTGTTTTGTAGTTGCACATCTACAAGACTCCTTGGTATTTGGATACTTGACAGTGATACAGTACACTTTGAGGAGGATTTCAATGTGAGCGAAATGCAAACTGCACAGCGAGAGATGGCTATGCTGGGTTCACACAGCGTTAAAACACAGTTTTTTGCTGCGCACCACATGAGATAGACGATGCGTATTTTTCTCATAACTGCATGTTTAGAAATAAATTAACATAACACCTGACCTCGGTATAGCTGTTCATTCTATCGCTTGTCGTCACGTTTCCACCGCCGGCGTCAAACGCGCGAAGTTGCGTATGATGGTGATTGGTGGTCGCAAAGCAGTAGCGGGGTAGGACCTCAGTTGATAGATGGTCATATGTTGTACGTAACACTGCCCATACATTCTCAGACCTGCCAAGTTTGTATACTTCCATTCTAATTTTTTCGATTGTTTTCCCTGTACATATTCGTCTTTCTGGCTATCGAGCCTGCCTGGAATCACTGTCTTGCAATTGCAACCCTCTTTTGGGTTGTGGCGGGGCTTGGAACTGCAATCGCCGGATTGAACAGGGTAGTGCATTACCATTATAACGGTGGAGACCCTTCGGGAAGATCTCATGAGCAGCTCCTGGATGTCTTTTGAGCAAAAGACGGAAAGGCTGTAGTCATACAAAGTAATAGCTCACTCCGAATATTTTAGCTTTGTCACCAGACGCTCAGTCGCAGCCGCACACGCACACGTAGTGTGCTACGTAAGCTGACAGGCAACAATATGCTGATAGGCAATCGGACCGACGCTACGGCCAATTCCGCCCCCTGTGTTGAGCGACATTGACGATTGTCAAACCGCAGAAGGTATGCAAATTGTTGCATTTTTACTCGCATGTTAGCAAATCCCATCGTGGAAATTTAGTGGTCAGCGAATATGATGAAAGGTTGACGCCGTCAGACAGGCCAATGTGGACGCCTGAGTTCATTTCAGATCGTTACAAACGAATTGGTGTCAATGTTTGACAATAATTACAGGTATACGTATGTGATCGTACGCGTGTGTATGTTCGTATGTGGTTCGTACGTTGTTTGCCCGTATTGTTTGCATCACAGTGTACCGAAACGTGTTTCCACATATTGTTTGCACCTCCATAGATATAATATATATTATTCATTCTGTGCATCTTCTTCCAGTCTTGTGCAATGTAATTTTTATTTTTATGCTCGAAATTTTTCTCATTTTTAATATTTTGTGGCTTATTTCTTATCTGTCATTTCTATCGATACAACCATTCTTCATCCAATCAAAGATCATTCCTATTTGGCCTTTTTTCGTAGCTAATGCAACGTCGGATTAAAATCATCCTTAAAAGGAACGACAAAATTGCCCCCATGAGAGAAAGTGGTCAATCAAAGCAAACCCCTATCGCTGCTTGTCAATTATTGAAGGTAAATATTACCTGATTTCATTGCGAGGAGCTTGTCTGCACCGATATTTCGGTCCCTTCCATCGAAAACTCGAAGGAGTCCTACTGGTCCGACCATACAACATTCCGCGATCCGGCTTGGCCCTTTTGTGACTCCGCTCGTTCATTCCGCTTCCCGCACACCACAAGCTCCTGAGTTACACGAGCTTCCCTCACGATGCGCGTCTATCCCGGCATTCTACTGACTGCAGCTCTCCTTGCGACATCAAACAGCGCTTCTACAGCCAGTGACACGCCCCCATCTGTCTCGCGAGAGGCAGCGGAGAAGGCAGGAGGGTTTCGGCACAAGATTCCTTTCATTTACGGCAATATGACGGGAACTTTGGTGATCACGATCGAACCGGGCAGTCTTCGCTTGACGGGTAAAGAAGATCCTGTTATGAATGGCACTCAAATGGTCAATTTTACGCGGATCAAGGACTTAGAATCGGGTGGAGAAGATCGAACATTATTTGGGTCTGCTATACTCTGGAACTATGTGCTGAACATCTTGGAGGTTAGATACTTGCTTCGCGTGATCAAAAAGTTTGCTGGCGTGTTCTCGTAGACAGATGAAGTTGCATGAGAAACAATATATCTACGTAAAGGCATTCGCCTGACTTGGACGCATCTACGGTTCGTGTATGAATACCGTCCATGCTCATTGTTGCTGATCGTTCCATCGTCGTAGGGCTATTTCAGCGCATGCCTGCCGTATGCATAGATCGAACAGACTTATCGCAATTTCTCCAAGAGGAATGCATATAGAGAGACCACTACCTGATGTGCTTCTGCTCATGGGTGTGCGGAGTCAAAAACAAGTTACAGCTTTAAGAGTTCAAGACTAGCAAGTATTGCAGTATTGAATGACATGAAGCCATACATATCATGGCAACGATGACATTAACGTTGCTGCAGGTGGCACATGGCGAGCCGTGCCACCCGCAGCAACGTAGGCATGACGTCTCAACGCGTTTAGTAAAGCCCAACTTATATTATATATCGGCCTACGTTCGTAACGCTTTATCCAGAATAACTTGTACGCTGCGCTTATCACATCAACGCATATATCGATATATATACCATCTTTCCAAGTCTCCACCCTCTCACAGTGTCCGCAAGCTAGTTCAATAGTCACGGTGTCCATACTGTTGTACATTCAGGGGGGGGATCAAAATACATTTCGTAGCGGTCCCTGACTGAGAACTGACTGTTATTAGCTCACCTGGCTGACGGACCTACACTGTCAATGCCTGTTACCAGAGTATCACTTCTATCATTGGCCAGCCGGCGCCACTTAACTATCAGCGATGTAAAAGTGCGCCAAGGAATTATTGATAATTACTTCACCGTGAGGGACCAGATGTCGACACCCAAGCAGCCTTCCAAATACCGCGGTTGTAACTGTCGCCTAAGCCAATGCAGAGTACTCGTCGCCTGTTTGAAGTGATTAAAGCTGGTGCATTGTTGCCGTTTACGTATCATTGCCAGGCGTCGAAATCGATATACCATTTACGATGTACTTCATTCACCCCTCGATACTCTGACGTGTCCGATTGAAACCATTTCATGCAGCGAGCTCTCGTGCAAGAGGCTAGCACGTTTCTTTCGCAAAGAATCAATCGAGGAGCCGCCACAAATCACATGGACACTTGAATGTCCATGGCAGAAAAGCTAGCAGAGATTTGTCTGGTACTTGCTCTATATGTAGCGGTGAAAGATAAGCTCTGTATATGTTTACGGTTGAACCACATTATTTTCTGACTCGATACTTGATTCTTATGTGCTTTGGCATGGATTCAAAATAAGTATGTAGCTTACAGCGAAGTGAGCATGTTACATGGTATTAGAAATGCGAATACTATCTTAGCGAGCAATAATGTTGAATATTGCTATAAATCGTAATATTCGCAGTTTCCGCCATTTGGTTGATATGTTCCGTTGCATAAACCAGCAAATCTCCAATCGATAATGAACGCGCGCAATGAGTGGTGGGCGGATAGTTATACTCACATTTCATACCTGCATTTTTTCATAGTCAATTGAGATTTAAGAACATTTACATTGGTCCGATTAACTTTATGAAATACAGCCCTCTTTTTACATTTGAATAACGTGTCCGTTGGTTGGTCGGTCTTCTTTGCGTGTACGTGAACGTGATGTTTCGGGGGCAGTTGCATTTACTGTTGCCAGTGTAGTATATCATCTTGTTTTACAGTACAGCGTTGTGCCTCGTTACGCTCGGTAGCACTTTGTGGTTCGTCTAACGATCCCGTAACCATTCACCGTGGAAGCGAGGGATACACCACGCGTAATTTTTTTTCATTTGTGTGGTGTCTAATGGAAGGCTTTCAAGCATATGAGTACTTTTGTCGGTAGGGAAGCCATCGGTCTCACCTTTTTGGTCGTGAGAAGGACGGTCAACACGCCCCGATAGCCAAGTTCAGGCAGCATAAGCTGGAGACACCTGAATAAACAATGGATTTGTCCCAACGGATAGGTTCTTAACAGTCATAGCCGTATTGGGAACAGATTGCAACACAGTACGAGCTGTTAAGATATCAGCAGGTAAGTGTTACTGTAGGCGTGCAGAGACATGTACTTCTACCTAAGCTCTTGAAGATTGACATATCAAAATTCAAGGTATTCAGAAGGTACTCCTTATTCATATGATTCGTCGACTTTGACGGCTGTATCGAAGTCCATAGCATCGATGACGATGCAACAAAGGTTGAATTTGACAAGTTCAACATGGTTGATGTGCAAATACTTTGTCCTAAGAATCATATTCAGTATTCATATCATTTTTAGGGGCGTACAAACACATTTAGACGCGGCTGATACAACCGTTCAGCCGCCGTATGCTCAAACCGGATCTTCAGCTGATCTCCTGGATTTTAATATGGGTCATGATTGTGTGCAAGCTTACGCTCAGCACACACGGTACCCCTTAAAATGTATCGTGTTTACATCTATTGATGAGAAAACGCAGGTTTAAATGTTCATCTAGGTTTTCGCGGATCATGCCGTCAAGACCCATCTCTTCCTCCAATAATTAGGCTATGATTGATCAATACATATCAGTGGAAGAGAAGCAGAATCAGAAAAAATGCAGAATTATGCCAATCGTCTTCTTGTCGTCGGACTCGACAACAATAAACTGGAGGTTCAAATTTTATGGAACTATGTCATGTTGAGGAGAAAGATCTCGCTCTCATTATCACGACTTATTGCAAAAGTGAAATAGCTGTCAGTAGCTATGACAATACGTACATGATTGCGGTCAATCATGATATTAACATCAAGATAAATGATTGTGCTTCTACCAAAAAGTACCAATGACGCGGGTCATTATTTGTTGCCTAGTAAAAATATCGAAACGGATCATAAGAAATCGGTCGGGGTCAGCGCGTACAGATCAAGCTATTGTTCAGCGACGTCGAAAACGTTTGTGGGTTTCCTTTCACAGTAACAGTGTATGCGGCGCCTAGTGATGAGTTGTCCTCTGTCACCTCGCGGATTGAAGTGAAAAAGAACGAGTCACTTCTTTCCCGAGTTGACATCGAAGAGTCGAACAACTTTGTCGAGAACCAGCGTTTGGGCAATGGTGGGCACAAGTTTGCTGAACATTACATTCTTCAAAAGTACGTTGACATTGCACCTTGTAACAGATGCATTCGTAACGGTAAAAAACGCGTATTTAGAATCCACTACATTTCAGAAGATATACAGAGCGAAGATAATCTCATTTTACTCAGCCTGGATGAAAGTTTTTTGAGACCATCCCAAAGTTACCTAACATTGGAAAGCATAATACAGGGTAAATCCCGAAGCATGCAGCCGTTGAGATTACTACCTTGTGCTCATCGACAGACATCAGATGAATGTCTTGGAGTGTACACAAGCATGTGCGTGTACTAATTGTGAGTGCGATGATCTCACTGTGTTACTTTCGTTAGCAGAACTGCACAAGAACTCAATTTGTCAATGATCCACAGCGCGAATCAAAGTGCCAATGATCTCTGTAGAGACTACACAGACATCTCCCAAGCAACGCGACTTGAATAGGTAAAAAGAAGCAGGACATCAATTCTTACATCATAGATGGTAGCATCCAAGGAAGCAGAAATGGTCGCCTAGAAGCGGCAATACGATAATCCTATATCTCTTGGTGATCCGATCACAGAGGACCTCTATGTGGCTACTGAGCCACATCTTAAGGGTACCAAACGAATATGAACCCCCAATCCTAATGAAATAAATAAGAGACATAAATCAATACGACAATCTTCTTTATAAAGGTGTGACCAATGATAATCTCTTAAAAGCTTGATCCAACCCAACCATTCGGATCCTTCTTTAGAGATACCGATATGGTAGTAATGTAAAACTAACTTATTTTGGCATTCGGTATAGTCGCAAAATGATGAGGATCTACATTGGTATTCACATACTATTTGCATGTGCTTTTAAAAGTCACGTTTGCATAAATGCAGACAAATCCGCTCAATCATATAGGAAGGTTCGAAAAGTCGATAAAAAACACTTTAATTCGGAAATAGGTGTATTATATACTCTTAACAAATCCTGGTGACAACTTTTTTTTATCGACATGAAATATTGTCCTGATAAGCATTAGTGAGTGCTCCTATCATATAAACGAACACTTTCTATCTGTCTGGGTTCTATGCCAACCCTTTATAAATCTTAGGCAGAAAACATGATAAGTTGAATGATGAAAAAAATTGACTCAGAGATTTTCTCATTACTGGTATGGTATATTCTGTGGAACGGAACTACCAAGAAATGCAACCTGCTTTGTTGTCAAGAGTAGCTATACAAAATAGTTATCGAGTAAGATTAGCTTATAATCCATAATATTTAATACTTTTGTTTGATGTGTTCTCATTCATATCCAACACGACAACGCCATGCGCATTTACAATTATTTATCAAATTACTCACATATATGTGGTCACGCTACACTTAAAGAGTAAAATTAGAGTTCATGTAGCCCTTTAGAGAGTATGTTGCATCCACTTCATATCTGCCTATGCCGTATTGTTAAAATAATAAAATCGTCACTTTCATCATTATATGCCGTCAGATATATGTGTAGTTTGTTGTTTCAGCTCATCACCTATTGTCATATGTGTTTTGCACGCACGAAAATGTATGATAACAGGCACAATTGTTCATTTTTATGTGTCGATCGATAGTGGATCGTTCTAAGTCGCTAATATCAAGCTATACGAAGATACAAGACATAAAATATGTCAGTTTGTATTACACCATCGATTAAGAGTCATGAATTTTTAATGAATTATGTATTATTTTGGAGATCGTTTTACTTATTACTGACATGACAATTCTATATCGCTTTTTTGTGTACATCCATTGATCTGAATGAGATTTCATTGTGTAATTATTAATTAAATAAACTGCAAATCAAGTTTGTTGTCCTCACTAAAGATTTACTAAAATCGAATTTGGTGTATTTTTGGTACAGTGCAATGCGTCTTCGAAATGGTATATGAATCTCTATTTCTTGTTCGTCTTTATCTTGAC